CTGCTGTAGAATTTCATCCTCAATCACCAAAAACACTCAATAAATGACAGGTATTTTATTCCTCATTTCAGAAGATTTCTTTCTTCTTTACTCCCAGTTCTAGAGTCCTTTCCTTACCATGGGTTAGGAGCACTAACTAGGCCTGCAATGCAGTCAGAGACTGAAGAGTGTCAAAACATACACCTAAATACCTTCCTGGGACTTTTAAATTTAACAACACTCAAAACTGTGACTGCTAAGTCTCAAACCAATTAAGAATACACTATTTTGCTTAAACCTCCTTCAACAAGGTATTTTTAGACAAAAATAACCTGGAATAGTTTTATGCCTCTAAGTATCAAGCCAAGATATATATATATAGATAGGTATTTCTAAAATCCCCAGTCTGCCTGAAATGCCTGTTGAGTCTCCACAATTATTATTTTTTTAAAGATTTTTAAAGATTTTTTAAGATTATTTTATTTTTTACCTTCTCCACTATGCTAACATTCTTATGTTCTATTCTTCCACATCTCCACACTGCAGGTTAAACTAATCATCATTCTTACAAACCAGCATCTAATCCTAAATCTGACTCACATCTACCTGCCTTTCCTTTATGAGGGCCACCTTGCAAGACAGAGCTGATAAAAATCCATAGACCAAACTGAATATACTAACAATTCTACTGACCAAAAAAATGAAATTACAAGAAGACACCTTATTGTTCACAGTTGTTACCTCTGGCAGTCCAGGCACAATGTTGTCATGCAAGCAGGGCAGTTCAGAACAGCATCACTATTTGGAACAGCTGCAGGTTTTGCCTGCCACTGCTGTGGCACTGCTCTTCTCTGGTTACGGTATCTACCAATTTGAGAGAGGAGGAAGCGGAGACAAAAAGTGAAATTACATGCCCTTTTTGTTGGTCGTAACAATTCAATGTCAAATTTTTCTTTGCATTAAAATACACCAATTAATACTTGGTTCTTTCTGGACACCATTTGCATTAACTCAAAAAACACAGATGAGAAGGTGAGGGGAAAACACATACCAGTATCTTTTGATTTACAGAATACTTTCATTTGGTGAGACAAATACAAGTCTGGCATGAGAATTTGTGCCTAATAACCCACTCCTCTGACTAAGTAGGTATCTCAAGTGCAATGTCTGCAGGCAACATTAATTATCTTATTCAACAGATTTAAGTGGAAAATTTTACTTCTGCTGCAACAACCATTTTTCTACTTCAACCTTCAAAAAACCCTCATTAAAGTAGCTTTCTATTGTTCCTGTTTTCTCTGAACATTTTGTGGCTTGCTAAATTCAAGTTTTCCAAAACCAGAAATACAGTATTTATCAGGAACAAATATTAATCAGCAATCAAATTATCTTGCAACATTTTAATTCACAGCATGGTTGTTTAAATGAGATCTACAGACAAAACTAGCTTACAGAATTTGGAAATCTTTATTTTAAAAATTTTAAAGTTTTGTGTAGTTTTGAAGACTCAACTTCCATTACATACACCTATAACATTTTACAGGATTTGAAGTTTCTTATGCTTTACATTTATATATAAAAAATAGTCACATTGCATGGATTTGACAGCATTGGCTTTTTCTCTACATTTACCATTTTCATTTAAAATTTTCAATTGATGTTAAGCATCTTACAATTCAAATATTTATGGTTACTTACCCTCTCCTCTGTGAGTCTACCCACTCTTGGTCTCTGTTATCTTCTTCTGGGTCATACAGCAGCTCATCATTGGAGAGAATCCGACGTTGCTGATGTTTTCTGTTTTTCCGGCTATCCTGTGTATCTGGAAAAATTTGTTCAAGAACATGTTACATCCATCTGACACAAATTATCAAAATATACAATTTCCAATTTTCATTTTCCATCCTCACAATAAATCTAAACTGAAATTTAAATGCCTGGCTCATCTCTCCTTCAAGTGTAACCCCGAAGCATTACACTGTGATACATCATAGAATTGCAGGAACTACATTGAGATGATACAGGCTGGTAATTCCCCTCAAAAATGCTGCCTTCACAAACAGCCTCTAGACCTCCCCCCCCCCAAAGAGGATTATACAGGATCTGACTGAGTGGTACTATAAAGATGCCCTCCTCTTGCCTCTGTCATTTACCTATTTTATCTTCATCCTCTGAATCAGAATCAAAATAAATGTCATCATAGTATTTTGAAGTGCTGGCAGATCCACTCAGCCCAGTACTTGAGGAAGTACCTACAGGTGAAATTAGAAGTGGTAAGAACACCCCAGTACAAGGAGAGAAAGTATACAGCCCAGAACAAACCTTTACTTTCAAGTTACTTTGTCCAGAGTGTTCTGTTCTACCTGGGTGTGTTAAGTAACAGCCCTCCCAGTTTATTCCCACACCCTTATCATTCACATCACTTGTGTTACTTCATTTACAGGCATTCTCAGAGCAGAGCTGCTCCCTCTCCCTCAAAGATGAACCTCAGGTAACATCTGAAGCAAAGTTTCTCCCAACACTCCCTTTAGACACAGAGGACATCACATCAAGTATACCTGTCTCTGCTCTATGTCATACACACAAGACATCTTTAGTCATGTGAAAGAAATACAAGTGTGGCATTGTTTCACAAACTTTGATTAAAATAAAATTCACTAAAAAACGTCCCCCAAAATTTCAGGCCCACAGAAGTTCAAAAAATACCTAGACAAACTGCCAAGCAGCCACTCTGCACCAAAATTCCTATTCCGTGCTGTATGGATGCGGTGATGTAAATACTGCTACGTATTCTTAACTATACAACCAAAACCTAAAGATGATTTGGCCACTAACACATAATTCATAATTTCATATGCAAGCAGATGTTAAGCATAATTTACCCATTTCAGGTGATTTCCATTTGCCTTCCATAGTCTTCATGGTGGTGTTCAGTTCTGCTTCCATCTCCTTTTGGAACTCATCATCACTGGAAGACTCACTCTCGCCAGTCAGGCACTCCCTTATCAGCTTCCGCTTCTGGTCAGGAGTGCCATGTAGGAGCACATCCACCTCATCCTCTGAGCTACAAACATTTAAGTGGTACACACCTAATTATTACAAATAGGCTAAAACGTGGATATAGTCACTTGGAGAACGACCATCTGAATTGTGTGGGTGCACTGGAAATCACTTCTATGTTTATGGGCAACGTACATATTAAAACACTTTATTAGCTTAGGGGTATTAAAACTGGTTTAAACGCAAAGGAGCTTCAGGGGACTGCGTGGGGCCTGCCACAATGCCTCTGCAGCTCCCGCTCCGCGCAGGGAGCTGGGCGGTCAGAAATGTTATTACACCGGTTTCAAGGAAATCGCCGCGGCCGACGTGAGGCCGATCCTCCTGCACTCCGCGGGCAGCCCGGGGTCGACACCCACTCACGGCCTGGCACCGCCACCGTCGCTGCGCGCCCGGGCCAGCACAAGCCAGGCGGGGAGCGGGGCCCGCCGCCGCCGGCCCGAGCCCACCCCCCGGCCGGCAGCTCCAGGCACCTGCTGAGCGCTCGCTCCTCGTCGCTGGGCTCTTCCACCACGTACGGATCGTCCTCCTCCCGCAAGCGGCTCATGGCGCCACCGCTCCTCACCCGCTGCCGCAGTCAGGCCTAGCCCGGCCCCTTCCGGACGCCCCGGCGGCTTCCGGCGGGCGAGCCCCGCCCGGCCCGGCCGCGCCCCCGCCGCGGAAAGACTCCCCCGCCGCCAAGAGGAGGCCCCGGCAGCCCATGGGCCGCCCCGCAGCGAGAACCGGGCAGGCGGGTCTTTTCCCTTTTCTACTTGGAGCTGTAAGTCCTCGGGTCACGTTTGAAGCACTTTTTTCCAGAGTTACCGATCCAGAGTCGGAGCTTTAAGAGACACACCCAATACCAAGAGGCTTGGAAAAAATTTAATGAGCTAGTAACACTCAACAGCGAGGACTAATCTAAAAACTGTTCTCACATCCTACTTAAAATATTTACAATATTGTTAGCTATATATACATTGTCATTGTTGTCCCTCGTAGTCTATTTATAGATGAGTTCCTTAGGAATTATACCTGTTATATCTAGAAAATGAACAGCACAGTATTAGTGTAGTAGGCATTGCTAGGAATACTCTCTGTACTAGGTAAGTTGCCAAGACCCACTGGGCACTGGTCATCGAAGCCTGAGGTGATGGGTACATGAATCAAAGCACAATGCAAACTTCCCTGCCTTTGATGTGCAAGGCAGTAGGGTAAGGATACTACACTGTGCAATTCACCCTATCTGAGAAGAACAAACACACCTGTGCGGCAGTACAGGGCATCTGTAATCACAGACACTGACTTAGGCTGAACTGCATTTCTAATCGTACCATTCACTCAAACTTTGCTGTTCCACTGAAGGCCTAAAAACAGCATATATTGCTTGTAAAGCAGCAATCCCACTGTGAAGAGTAGTTCATCAAGTAAAGCCTAATTTTATGACATCGTGAAATTACACAACATAGCAGCACCACTTGGAAAAGGTCATAGTTCAAGGAAGGAGACCAATCAATACAACTAACAATATTGGATTCATAGTCTATATCTTAAAGTCCAGTTAGCAGAATGAGATCCTTTTCCATTCCTTTATAGGGGATACCTTCACTTTTTTCCTGAAGCAAAACTTTTTATTCGTATCACAGTGGGGCAGTATTACTTTTCACTAATATTTTATGCAGCTCCTTCTGAACTCCCTTCTGCTACTTTATTTCCCCTTTCTCAGAAGAAACCCAGGAAGTTCTCTCAAATGTATTTCTGCCAAAGAAATTGCAGAGTCAGCCACCAAGCTCAAAACAATTTAAGTACACTGGAGAGGAAAGTCACAGACAAACAGATAAAACCTGAGAATGCAAGTGAAAAAGTACTGGGCGAGTAGTGTCAGACCAATCCAATACTTAGTCAATGGTTTTTACATGATGAATAAAGAAAAAAAAATCTAATTTACTAGAAAATACTAAGCTTATAGATGATACAGTATCTGCATCATTTTAGAAAAATCACTGATTTCATGGTTTATTTTACAATAATTGGATTAGTCTACAAGTTAAGGCAAACATACTAATGCATCTGCTTTTCTTTTTAAATCATAGTTATAAAGGTTACACAAAGTTCTCCAAAATTTCTAAGAAATGTTCACAATTGAAAAAAAGATAAGTTTTTTGATATAAGTACATGGAAAAAAAAAAACTAAGACAGTGTATACAATGCCATTATAGTAACAATATTCAAATATCTAATGGTAATACTTAGGCCATTTGAACAATGTGCTTCAAATGGTGATCTTCAGAAATTACTTACAAAGGTAAATAAGATTGCAGCCGTATCATAGTATTCATAACATGAACATTATTATATTGGCTATTTTCACAAAACCCGAGCATTTGGTTTTTGAACAATGAAAGCATATAATGATTAAATAAACATGAATATGTATGTATAACAAGTATGCTGTTCATATAGTCTGGAGCTACTTTCAGGTGTTTAATTCTTTTGAAAGAAGAAGCTTGCTTATGTGCACTTTGTCAAAAGTTTTCTCCAGGGAACTGTAAATGCCTATTTAAAGTCATGAAAACAAAATCCAGAGGAGGGCAGCCCTTGTTAGTGGGAGGACGGAACGTAGCTTATGTGTCACCATTTAACACTGCCAGGCAGCTCTGCAGAAGCTGTAAGTTACCCTGTAAAAATAAAGAAAAATATCACCACATTTGTCTTCTTTCTTTTAAGCTTGTCACAGAACAATGTTTTTTTAGATAGCAATGACACCACTAAAGAGGAATAGACAGGTTTTAAACTTATGGAAAAATATGTGTAATTGTGTATTAAAAGCTTTTTTGAATGTAGGAATATAGCATCATGGAAATAAACACAGCCAATTTGAGATTAAAAAATAAGCATTTAATACTCTTTCATGTCTCTTCCTAGAGGTCTAATCAGGCCACAAAACTATTCACTGCAGAGCACTCTCTTAGCAATGAAATTCACAGTGGCAAAGTTTAAAATATTTTATATAGTAGGACCATTTCTCTGTCTCTAGAATGAGATTCCCAAAGTGTAAATATTCATGTGTTACACTGAATACTATATACACCAACAAATATTAAACAATTCATAGCACTCGGAATCTCCTCGCTTCTAGCAGCCATTTGAGCTGACATCTTTGTTCAAGGAGGAGGCCTTGTAAGACAGCAGACTGATTTACATGCTTAGCCAGGTGATTTAGCCATCAAACTGAGTTTAGCCTTTACAGCTGGAGCTACAGAAGTGATTATTACAACATTAACTCAACTCTAAGCCAAGCTCTGGCCTTCCTTCCAAACACAGGTTTTAATCTTATTTAAAGCATTCTGGCTCTACCATAAAAATATACAGACTGGTTTTCAGGTATCTGAATGAATTTAGAGAACGGATACCCTTGTCAATTAAGCAAATGTGACTGACAAGCCAGAATTTACTTTGCAGTAAAAACCCCACCAAAACAACCCAGTATTCATATGTGCATTCATTTATGCTTACATCATTTTAAATTACTAGTTATTCACTATGAAATACCTGTACTACATTTGTTCCCAAATCTGAAACCTCTATGTAAGAAAAAAATATTGGGCTGTTGACAGTGTTAGGAATAATTCTTATCAGGTTCAGATAAAATGCAGGAACAAAGCAGTTTGAATGCCCAGTTATGAACATGGAAGAAATTGCTGACTTCTCAAAAAATTTTTGGATCAAGAAAGAAACATATAGAGAAACCTTCAGACACACAAAAGCATGTAAGTATCTGTGATTTGCATGCCTTTCATAAAAGAGTCCACAGAAGTCCTTAAGAATTTGTAATTACTTTTTCAGTTAAAAGCCACTCCAAGTGACTTGTGATAGATAAGCAAGACATTCATCCCTCGGCCCCAAAAGGTAAACCGTAATTCTATGCCCCCCTTCAGGTTCTTATAATCCAGATAAAGCAATTAACTGATTTAAAGCCTTGAAAGCAGATTCCCAGTTATACCTACTAAATCCTTCTCAGTCTTATCCAGAAGACAGCAATTTCAATTCCAGCTTCAACAGCTTTTTTGTTTCTTTATGTCTATACCGGCAGAGGACAGTCACAAGCTATTTTTTAAAAGGCTTGTAATTCAGTGACATGAACAAATTCTATATAAGCAAGATACATAGGGACTTGGTGGCCCATCTTTGTGGTGTACAGGATTCATAAATTTAAGGTCTCTGTTACTGAAAACCTGATTATTGACTGTAATGAACTAATGAATTGAAAGGAATACTTCAGTCTGAAGTCTTCAGTCTTCAAATGGAATTCAATCTGAAGGACACTTACGGACTGCACACATTACCTGTAACTGAAGTGTGACAATAATCTTTTGGCCATCTTATTGCAGAAGCATGAGGTATATTTGTAATTTACAGACCATTGTGTAGCCCTCTTAAAAAAAAAAGTGTTACCAAGACATCTGTGCTGGTTTTGGCTGGGGTAGAGTTAATTTTCTTCTCAGTGGCTAATATGGGGATGTGTTTTGGATTTGTGCTGAAAATGGTGTTGATAACATAGAGATGACATCATTATTGCCAAACAGCTCTTACTCTGCCTTTTCTGCTTCTTGTACTGGCATGCTAGAAAAGTAGCTGGGGGTGCATGGGAGCTGGGGGGGGACACAGCCAGGACAGGTGACCCCAAGTGACCAAAGGGATATTCCAGACCATATGGCATCATGCTCAGTATATAAGGTGGGGAAAATAAAAAGGAAGAGAGGGGCATTCAGACTGTTGTCTTCTCAAGTCACTGTCACACATAATGCGCCCTGCTCTTTTGGAGATGACTGAACATCTGCCTGCCCATGGGAAGCACTGAATAAAGTCCTTGTTTAGTTTTGCTTGTGTGCATGGCTTTTGCTTTCCCTGTTAAGCTGTCTTTAACTCAACCCACGACTTTTCTCACTTTTCTGAATTTTAGTTGCTAGCTGACGTTAAACCATCACAACATCCTTTACACCTCAGTAATTTCCAGACTAAGCCAGTCAGTCTACTAAAATTTTCCAAACAGGCACATAATTCATTTTCATTAGATCAAATTTACAAAGTTCACAAGAACCACCTTATTTGTATTATAATAAATCAAGGACAATGGAAGCTGTGAGCTATTACTCCTTGTGGCTGCAGTATCTGACATATTTCACTTACATCAGCATAGCTTGAGAAAGTTCAATATATTCAGATTCAGAAAAGTGTTTCTTGCCAGCTTACACTCCTAAGCTGCAGGTGTTAAAACTAATGGCAGAACCACAGTGACAGAAACATCCTTTTCAGGAAAGAAAGAATTATTGACAAAACATTTCAGCAAATCCCTTAGCACTGCATTTTGCTTACTTCCTTCTTCTGTAAGTTCCAGGTATCTGTTGCTAGTAACACAAATTCTTTTTCCAGAAAACGCAGAGAGGCAAGCGTGTATATATTAATATTTGTGGAAAATGTATGTTTCTGTTTATTTATGTGAAGGAAGTGGCTGTCCTAGTTACAATTCATATGTCAAAAGACTGTAAATGTACAAGAATGCTCTAAGTATGTGATTATAATCTTAGCAGTGTCACAAGCTGTCAAACCTCCCTTCCCTGAACATGAATTCCAATACAGGAATACCTCAAAATCCAACCATTTAAAATACTGAACAGTACACCAAATGCAGCTTTTGCACCAAAATGGCCAAACATTGATTCAGGTCTTACATTAGCTACAGCTGCACTAAGTCATGAAGAAACACAGAGCTAGCAAAACAGAAGCTAAGCACTACCTAGGGGGATAATCAGCCAGAATGGCCACAGAAAAAGAAACATTGGTATGTTTAGAGTAGGTCACTGACCAATGATCATCTAAAGCTTCAGTTTGGCAGCTACTCTAAATAAATCTAGGGTACATGCTGCTGGTAAGAAGGCAGCTCTCTTTTATTGCCAGACCCTCCAGCCAAAACTGTGTGTTTTGATACAAGCGATATTGTGAAAACAAGACAAAGTAGGAAAACCCAGAGCAACTTTCAGCTCCTTCTTACTATGCAGCTGCATACATAATTGTGCCAACATAAGGGAAAGGAAGAGTCATGTATCATCATCCTTCCTGGCAGCAGTCTGCCCTTTCATCAACTTAAAGCAAACTCAACCCACAGTCTGATTTTTAGCTATTTCAAAAGTCTTGAGTTGTAACTCAAAAGGGTAAGAGGATATTAATCATACTTCCAAGTACTATGTTATAGGGAAATAGTATGAACATAACTGGGCAGAGAGATTTTACTTAGAATTTGTATATAAAGTGTCCCCATTTTACTGAGTTTATTTCCCTATGGCCCTCAAGTCTTCTAGAGCTACAGGCAGGTATAGCTCACAAAATGCAAGCTGCGCCTCAGAACTTTCTCTCAATTCTTTGGTTACTGATTTCCTCCGTGCAGCAACCTCTGTATTTTGATATTTGTGTTTTCCTTTCCACACAGAACAAGTAACTTTAAGCAGCAAGTCAAGCAGCAGCCTTCATTGTGTCTGAATTCCTCAAGAGCTTCTCAGGTGAGTTCAGCATTCACTGCTACTGCACATTTCACTTCCACATTTTTTGTGTGAGGCAGCTTCAAATCCAAAAGACACGTAGTTAGACTGATTCAGAAACAGATACATCTGCATGGCATCTAGTCTGGAGGCACTCACTACTGAAAAAGAAAACCCGTAATAGAAGACTTCTAGCAAAAGGTTTCAACAGTGGGTTTCTTCTGTCCCCAGACTGCTTCCCTACTTAGCATTTTTGCTGGAATCAAACGCTTAGACTTGGGTAACAGGTCATGTTGCAAAGTTTGTCAGTGCTGTGCTCCACACTCGATTGACCAAGCAATTGCCATTCTGTTGCTACTAAAACTTCACGTCTGCCTCCAGTAGGTGTCAAAGCACAGAGACGGAGACTGCCAGCATCGGGCAAAGTATTTTGCCAAGAACCTAGAAGCAGGGGGCTTTTGATCTGACGTAATTAATTGACTGCCTACATGAAAAACATAACTTTCTTTTATGCTTTTTCTTTTATGCTTCTACTCTTCTGGCTGTACTTCAAGAGAGATTAGATGTCTAGAAACAGCCCAGCTTAGCCCAGTCAAAAACAGAGCTACCTAGTCCTTGAAATGTGAGTACTGTTCATGATTTGCATTTCAGTCATATTCCTCTAACATTGCTCTGCCCCATCAGGGCACAATATTACATTAAAAAAAAAACCAACAAACAAGTCTTTTAGTATCTCCATCCTTCCTTATATGGAACAAACCTAGAAAGTCTCCACCAAACCACTTAATCCTTCAATACTCCATACAGACTAATAAAAACCTATCCATAAGACTCTCTTCAAATACCTTGGTTTTTGCATTAATAAGAACATTTCCCATTATATAATGTTGAAAAATACAATGTTCTGTACTTGTACATTCTGTAATAATCAAACCCAGAATTCGCAGAAAGAAAAACATAGCAACCAAACTGATCCATCTGTAGTAGCAGCTTAGCTTGTTTCAAATATAAAACAGGAGCATTGAAAGAAGGGAACTTTCAAACCTAGTGAAAAACGAAACATCCTTTCATTCAACAGGTTACGGTATTTGTTAATGTTTCAAGATTTATCATTCTTAGTCCAAATGACCTTTTATTATGGTAAAGCTTTAAAGATTCAAAACTGTCTAGTGAATGTTGTGCTCCATGATGAAGTAGGTGAAAAGGGTCAGCAAAAATTGATCTTCAAAAGCAAAACTACAATTGAAAGCTTCTATTACAGCTTCATGGACTCTATGTTAGTAAAATTACTAAGACGAGATGAGGTAAGTCACAGACAGGCTACTCAAAGAAATGCATTTTAAACACAAGCTGTGTCAACAAACTAAAGCTAAAAATCTTCAAGCACTTCCAGGAATACTGAGGACACAGGAAGCACATATCAAGTTGAAAGCTACAGAAATTAAGCATCTTCCCCCTGTATTCTGCAGTTATTAGCTGACAAAATTCAAGAGAATATTACTCCAACATTGTGACTTGCATAGTTAAAAAAAGGGATTCTTTAAGGATACTTTAGAAGACAGAGACATTGTCTAAGCATTCCACTTCAAGGCATGTAGAGACTTCAGCAAGAGTCAGTTACAAGAGATGATGAACAGTCAATGATTGAAGCAGGACAGAAGCACTCCCTTACTAAAGCACAATATGGCAAATCAATAAAAACTGTTGCAAGTAAGACTGTTAGAACTATTTAAAGGACTGTTCATCTGAAAAAGGAGTCATGTGTTCCATACACTACTGATTGCTTTACCAGCAATATATAAATATCTCATTAAGCTGAACTTACACCTGCAATGATATTTTTTAAAAAAGTCCCCCAAACAACCCTTTTTACAGTGCACTGGTTTTGTAAGCAATGGATTTAGCAGAATGAAGAATGACACCATGAACACTACTGAAAAGAGTGTAAAGAAGCACTACACCTCCTAACAAGTTCTTTCAACAGATATATTCTGAGTTAATTCACAGCTTCCTAACCAATGCAGTTTCAGATTTGAAGAGAAATGCTAAAGAACTGATTTTTAAAAGAAAGCTGCCTCCATGTATATGACTGTTCAACTAAGAGACTGTTGTAGTCGTCCATGAAATCAAATACATTTTGAAATTTAAAGACAGTACAGGCCTCTTAAAGTTATTTTTCCAGAAAAATTTATCTTCCTGACAAGGCTATCTGCAACATGCCTCTTTTGTTAATAGTTTAGAGTTTAAAGGCAAAAAGGTTCAAAAAGCATGCTCATCATACCAGACAGGCCGGTGTAGTCTCATGCTTAATATCCTATACATCAAGGCCCAAAATCTGGCTAACAGGAGAAACTGCTTCCTATCTCATAGTGAAATGGTAGGAGAAAGTTTTAAAAATAGGTTAAGTTTTCAAATTCTGCAGCTGTAAATATCAAACAGACAAATAAACATAAAACTGAAGGCAAAATTATCTTCCATGACATGAGATTCCCAAAGGCACCTCAAGCATACCAATCTCTCAGAGACACTTGAGCTATACTTCAGTTTCTCTGTGATTAAAGGAAGTTCATCTTTCTGGACAATACTTAACTTAAAATTCACCTTCCTGAATGTGAAGTGTGTATCATACAACAACTGTAGTCATCTTGGTTAATCAAGCATATAATATTCAAAATTACTTGAAATATAGGCTAAAAATTATCACAGTTACCTTAGCATGCTTTAATTCCAGTTCTGCTAGTTCCACCAGATTTTTTCTGAATGCTGCAACTCTTCTTGTCTTAAAGTCTATCAGTTCTATGGGAAATAAAAATGGACTCATTAACAGTATCCCTGCTAGTAACCTCAACTATTAAAAGACATTCCTTGAGGATGAAGAGGTAAAGGGTGAGAGAAGAAAAAAAGAAAAACCTCACATTTAATCTCAGCACATTGTGGGCTCAAAAATACTGCGACTCAGTTGGAAGAAAGCAAACCATCACTGCAGTTCCTCACCTCTACGTAACCTTTTGTGGACACAAAGCTCTTTTGAAAATAGACTGCCAAGTGGATACTTTTAACACTTGTTTCTCTTATTCCATCTGCACTGTTCTTTCAAGGCTGATACTTGAAAGTCTACAGGGAATATACTAAGCTAAAACTAGGATGAACAACAGTATGCCTTCTGCATATACTATTGTGGCTAAGAGGATCACTCATTCTCCATTGTCTCATTTTTAGGAATCATTAACCAGATTTACAGGCTTGAACAACTCTTCAATGATAAAAACAGGAGAGTGTGGTGTTTAAACCTTGAACATATCTGCCACAAATGATGAGTCAGATACCCACTAACTCACTGAAGTATTAACCTAAAAAAGACAGTAAGTTTCCAGAAGAAAAGTAACAGGTAAATAAGGTTCCTTTTCTTGATTAACTCTGTCATTCAGTGAAATATAATTTCATTTTTTCTCCCTTCTCTAATGTACTATCTTATCTGTGACAGATTGGTGCCTTCACAGAAGAAAGCATAAAACCAAAAGGGGAATTTTAACACTGAAATATTTTTTTGCTATTACTGCTAACAGTTATAGTTTTGTATCCTAGCTTATTTATGTAAAAAAAAAAAGCGTAACAAGTAATTTGCACCTAGACTGCTCTACCTATCAGAGCTATGAGAAACCAAAGAAAAATGTAATTTGAACTTTCTAAAATAAATAAATAATAATTAAAAGACCATATATCAGCTTAGAAAACGGTACAAAAATCTATTCTCATTAATTACATTTATTATCATTAATAACATACTACATTAATATTATTATATATTAATTTTCAAGTAGTAACATAGGATCAAGGACTACCCAAATACCTTGTTTTGCTGATTCAGAAATTTTCTCAAATTTCTGACAGCATATTTGCTGAGTAGTTTCAGCTTGCAGCACATCTTTATTTTTTGCTCTTGCTTTATCCAGTGCCTTATTAGCATTTTCATAATCCACTAGTGACCTTGATCTTCTATATAGGAGATCCTATTAAAAAAACAAAGGTTGTATGGAGTTTATAAGATTCTACCCAAAGACTTTATTATATTCCAAGTAATTTTAAAAAATCAAATTAATTTTAGTCCTTCTTGCTGCATTTCAGTTCTTACTAAATTATTTGCATTCACTTTACTTCATCCTGTAAGTCACAGGAATGTCCATACTAGATCAGATCCCCAACATAATGCTGTTTGATCTCCATCTTGTCTGACAGAGGCTAGCAACAGATGGCTTAGATCATACTCCAAAAAGCCAAAGGAGGCAAATCATGGGAAATTTCACAGCTTCTTAGATTAGAAACAAGCTACATTTAGATTATGTATCTGAAATACACACAAAGCCCGAGAAACAGTAGTAACATTTTTTGTGCAACAGTTCGTGATCTTCTAACTACAGACATTTTCTGTCAAATGCTTGCTCATCCTGTGATGTTATTTAATCATCTCACATCAAACAACAGTAAGAACTGAAATTTTCTGGAAGCACAGAATATCAAATTCAGCCTGTGTGTTTTTGTATCAGCACCAGTAGATTAGATGGAATACCCAATTTTAATATTTAACAAAAAGCAGAACTGCTTGCAATTACAAGCACCAAATATGCTGCAAACAGCCTTTCCACTGTTTTCACATGTTTACTGCATGATTTGGCCTTGACAAGTGGCTCACTCAGTTCCACACAGTCCCACATCACCAACTGCTTTGTTACTCCTTATATTCAACAGAGACAGGTTTTACAGCTAGGGGAAAAACTGCAGGCTAGAGGTGGCAGTATTTTAATCTATCTATATTGTGAGTTGATGATCCCATATCACTTTCTCCTTTTTTTTTAACGTTAAAAAACCACAATTTCACTGAACAAAAGTGCATAAATTCACCTTAGCAGCTTGAGATTCCCTAAGGTAGTATTTCAGAAGATCAGAAAGTTTAAGATCTTCATCTGCAGATACCCGAGCCTCTATTTTCTGGAATAACAAAACAAAACACCACCACCAAACAAAAACAAAAACAAAAAAAAAAACAAACACAAAAAACAGTAAGCAAAAGGATCAACTTAAAAACATCCAGACTTTGGGTTTTAATTTGCATTATACCAATTCAATGTAAAATATACAGTACAACAACAGATAGTCTTTTTATGAAACTAAATCAGGCATTAATTATAGGATACTTAAAGATGCAAAATGAGAAGCAGTATTAGTATTTCGTATTAAAATGTAAGGAATAAGCTACTCTGAAAGCAGTAATTGATAACTGGCTTTCTATATTAAAACTGCTTTTTTTCCCAATAGCAATTATATTTATGATATGCTAGAAAAATGTAGAGAAACAAACTTATATTAAGAGCTGTATAAGCAGCTTTATGTTATTGTTGAAATCAAAGGAAAACAAATTTTAAGGCATCTTTGCAGACTAACTGTGTAACTGCATGCGCTAAATGGTCTAAAAAGCCAATAAACTAATAATGGCTTGCATTTGAGACAGATTAGAAATAGAGTCTGCATGTGCATTTCTCAAACCCTAATTTTTATTAAAATAATTCCTGAAATGCAACATTTTGAGTCAAAGCAAGTAATTCTGTTCATTTTTTTTGAAGTATGTGTTAATGCAGATACAATTCTCAGTTGAGAAATGCACACATTATTCATTTGGAAGTTTTCCTGATACATGGCATACATCTTCTCTCTACCAAGCCAAACAAGTAAGGCAAAAGAGAAGATATTTGAAAAACTGGTTACACGAATAAGCAACATTACTTTTGAGTCAAATAATTGCAGAAACTGATCTTGGCTCCAGAAAAAAAGCAGCATGACCCCCATTTTTTTTCTGGATTAAGGATTCGATTTCTTCATTTCTTTTACCCATAACAAGTTCTGTGATTCCCAGTCACAAATATGAAAAATCTCTTTGTATTTTAGAGGAACAGCAGCTTTACAAGGGTATTACAGCAGACTGCCTATAAATGTTTAGTAGACTGAAGAGTCCGAAGGTTCATTTTACAAAACACGACTGAAATCTTACACTTTCTCATTCCATACTACACATTGCTTAAATGCTCCATCTAGAAGCACCCATATTAATCCACATATTAATGCCTTGTTGACACATGATGTCTGTTTCATAGTTACATACCCTTGTTTTGTCAAATAACTCTGACACCTTCAGAAAAAACCTGTGAAAAGAAAACAGCTCATATTACAACATTGTTTTCAACAGTTAATTGCCTTCTAGAACTCACACTATAGTCTGTGTCTTGCAATAAAGACTGCAAAGGCATCGCTTACAATTTTAATTCATAAAACTCAGAACATACTAGATTCACACTTCAAACGTGTGGGAACTGCAATCTAAGAAAGGCAAAGGACAAACAAAGGATAACAGATGGATATTTTTAAGTAAAGAATAATTGCTCAGCTCCTAAAGGATTCTTTATGCTTCTGTGAATTAAACCCCAAACACCAGCACTCTGGTCAATGGTCTTACACTATTATCAAGTGTCCTTTACACAAATTTGAATGTACTTTTCTTCACACAGTAAACATGACATATGTCCTACTTGGAATTCAGGGATGCTGAGCTACAGTGTGGCAACATCTCCATTGCAGGAGACAATACAAAGCTTCAGTCTTACAGCAGACTGAACTACAGTCAAATTATACTATTTTGACAGAAGACAGATGAGATTTCTGACACACCTTAATGGACTACAACAAATATCAATACTATCATCAAAGTACCTGGTATATAAGCAATCACATTTAAAAGTATATCACAGAAATTCAGATAAATTAGAAAGTTAACTTTCATATTCATCTCCTATCTGTCATCACACTGACACCAACATCATGCTAACTAACTATGTGGGTATGTTGACAAGCACTGACATCTTTAAACTAGTTAACTAAGTTTTATTGTCAGTTTTATTTGCTTCATCTTCAAGCAAATCACTGAAAGATTGAAGGACAAACATCTGTACATAGAGACACCCTTCTCAAGTTTTGTGGATCTCTGTAGATTCCTTTGTTTTCCTAAGAGCAGTAAACTTGCCAAAACAGCAGAGCTATTTTTCCAGATGTTGGTACACTCAAAAAAATCCATATACTCAGACTGAGACCCATGCTTGCTGCATATGTCAAAGCATTTGTAACACTTTTTTTTTTTAAATGGTGAAAGAATTGTGGTGTTTTCCTTATTTGTGAGGACTTTTCCATCTCAACTGTGCAATTTTCTACAGACTGTAGAAAGTAGCATTTTTTTACAGATGAATATTAAAACAAAAGTGTTAAATGCAGCCTGCTAAAGAAATAAAATACTAGAAAAGAAAATGTCTAAATGTGATACAGCTGTAATAAATTCTGGTTTTCTCCTAACAAGAGCTCAGTCTCAGCAGGTCACCATTAAGACTGCTATACAGCAAATTACCCCATAGGTTATTAACAATATCTTACTTGCATATATCTGTGGAGTCCTGCGTTCCTAATGCATATAATGAAGAACCAATTCTATTATAGTCATCCGCCACATCTAGAAAAACAAACAAGCACTTGTTTTACTACCTCATTTCTTTTCTTTCTGAAAATTTTGAAATTCCTTTCTTCAAAAATAGGTATTTTTCTAAAAGGACATGCTTTAATACGTAAGTAGAAATAAAATTGCAATCACATCACTTAATAGGAAGGATAACTTCACACAATAAAAACAGAGCTTTCACCAAATTGCACAGTCTGTAATTTACCTAGGTGTATTTTATGCAGTTAGAAAGTGTTAGATGAATTTATTGTGCAATTTTTTTAGGTTTTATTTTGGTGGAAGATGTACACACTTAATGGTTAAAGTCTGAATTTAAATTTTCTTTTAAAACTACTTGGAAAAAATAATATCACAGTTCAGCAGTAACAAAAGGTCTGTGTGCTTGAGAGCAGTTGACTACAAACCCTAAACTACCAAAAATACAGCACTATATATACACCACATTTTCTAGCACATCCCTATTTTTAGGAAACCCTTACCTCTTCAACAAGCAGTCACTGGTTAAAGTAGCATTAGTGTCAAATCACTTTAAACAATGAAATTAGAAGCAATATTTTTAAGAAGGCTGCATACTAGTGAGGTATTGCTATATAATCAACATAAAAAATAAATTTTTGCACAAAGAGCTTTTTTAAAAAGCTCTAAGTATTAGCTCAATGGATGATGGAAACTAACAGACCCATGCAATAAACAGAAAAATGTATTTGTTTGTTATTTCTTAAGTTTACATGCCTTTATGCATAATTATTTTTTCTTAATTAACACAACCTTAACAGATTGACGGGGTCAAGCTTCCACATAATTCATTACTTCATACATCATCAATGCAGCTGGTTACAGTGAAGAATGGTTTAAAGAAGCAATTAATCTCCCCTTCTATTCCTCCCATTTCAACATCAAAATGGATGTTCTGCTGGAAATAGCAAGTCAGTGTCTTTGCAAGCCCTGCAGCTCTCTGTTGATCATGTTATCCATAAACTACAGATTGCCCATTTCCAAAACAGGTTTCCCAGGTCATTGCTCTACTCCTCCAGCCAGAATTTCAAAAGGCACCATTTGTCCCACTTCACAGTTTGGCAGAAGTTGTCAATAAACATCATATGTGATTTGAGCCTGGAAACCAATGAAGCTTTGTCATGAGTTTGATCAATCCTTTCCCATCAGATCCTCTACAACCTCATTTCAAAGGATTTTCCCAGTTCTACAACCAATGTAAAAGCCTTCCTCACTCTGTAAATAAATCTTGACACTTCATTACCGTGAATGAAATTCAGTTCTCATTTTAAGAAAGCAACCAAAACCACCAGAAACCACTTCAGGCAGGAACTGAATGCAGACACAGGGCTCCCTTAGCTCATTGAGCCATAACTGACTCTTTCCATCTCCTAGCATAGATACTAAAACTACAAAAGACTCAGTGTTCATACAATGGCAAGAGAAGCACCTGAAGAACTCGGAAAAATCTTGGTTTAACATCTCATCCAATATCCATTTTAGAGATCTTATCAATAGAGATTCATAAAAGGTTTGTGACCTGGTTTTGTATGAGCTGTAGTTCATAAATAGTACTGTAGACAGCAAAGACAGTATCTGTAAATTAGACCTAAACTTCAAGGAAGTAGACAGAATCTGGAAGATCAATTTTGATTTATCTAGGCAGAAAAAATCAAGGGCAACACAGGTCAATTCCTTCTGAGCTTCTCAAAACACAGTAATCCTAAATCAAACACAGTAGTCCTAACCCAAAGATTTTTCATTTTCTCAAATAAAAGAACTGCACTTGAGAAGACCTTCTAAAGCTTTCAGAAATCACATTAGCTAGCACTCAGCTCACGAAGACAAATCAATAGGCAAGTGGTAACTCTTGTCTCAGTAAGAAAAGGGGTCCTGCAAACCAGGCTGCTGAATGTACACACTCCTGTCTCCTCTCTAAATAGTTAAAAAATGGAAACCTAGTCTATAACTGGCCCAAACAGAGTTTGCTATGTGCAAAGGTAACTTTGTCAGCAAGGAAATGCAATGCCCAGTTTGCCAAGAGATTGCACTCAGTGGAATCAACCACATCCAACCAAAAACAACTACACTAGGAGTAAAATCACATGCACTGCCATCTTACCCACCTCTACACCTAAATGACAAAGTCAGACTTCAAAAAAATATTAATACTTAAAGTGTATTTCATTCAAGCAGACAGCATGAAGAATCAACCTATCCTCAGTGTTGAACCAGGCTGTTCTTACTCCATCTAGTCTACTGCAGCAAAGCCTAAACTTAGAAAGTCGGATTGAACTTCTTTACATTCTGAAGGCTACACTTGGAGAAAAATAATTCACTTTTCACATGCAAAAAGAAAATTAAAAATTACTTCTCCTCACAAACAACTTCTGTACACTCCAGTATTATTTTCACCCTGGAAAAAAACTCACTTTTATGTGATCTTGTCATTTTATCAGATTTGGCAGATGCATCTTTGACTCGGTTGTGATATTCTACAAGGAATGTTCTCTCATGTTCAAAGAAGTCATCCACATCCTACAAAAAAAGGGAACAATTAAAAAAACAGGATTTCACCCACTCTCTACAGAGCAATTTCAGAGTAAATTTGCACATTTCACTGTTGCTGTGGCAGGAAATGCATCTGGTTTTATTGTCTAAAGCACTGTTTATATGAACTGATTTATTTTCCACTTATATCATGATCTTAAGTTTTATTAATAATTCAGTGAGAATTAGCAACAAGCATTCTAAAGGTCTACGTAACTAGACATGAATAAATAGCAAAGGGTCACCAAGGGTGACAGAAAAATAGAATACAAGTAATCTACCTAGAAAAAGGGGAGAAGGTATCAAAGTCACCCAGTAGCACAGAGGCTGTGGTCTCACACAAGATGATTTGAACTCCTAGCTCAGAACACTGATCTTAATGACAGACTTCTTTCAATTTTGTAAACACAGGTAAATGTTAGTATTGTCTGTATTATAATTTGAGATAATTGGTTTATACTTATTTTTAAAAACCCTCTAAAATAACACAGATGCTCAATACCATGGAATAACCTACAACATGGGCTTTGAACAATGTTCTTATGAAACTGGAAGTTACTTGGACTTTATATTTTTCTCCAAGTCATAATTAATCCATGGTTATATCCATTTTCCAGCAGTTTCAAAAAACCAAGATTTTAAGCCTAGAAACTTTTAACTCTTGCAAAAATTGCTACCAAATCAATCAATCAAGAAAGAAAAGAGATTAAAAATCATCCTCTGCAGAATTTCTGCTTACTATAGAAGTGATCTTGTAGCTTTTGAAAAAGTAAAAATTAAACTGAATTTTCATTACCTTTTTTTTTCTCTCACATTCTTACATCTACTGGGAAAAAAAATATAACTTCTACTGCTGCTCCTTGAAACAGTAGATAGATTCTACAAACACTGGGAAAATTCACTCCATTAGTAACCTCTCAACAGAAGCAGTTTTCAAACCTAGCTCTCCTTACCACTACATAAAATAGCAGGCCTCAACAACAACAACAAAAACCCAACCAGATTATCAATTATCTATGTACAAAAAAAAGGTGATTAATCTCAGAGTACAGAAAGCCCACAAGAAAGCTCTCAATTATTTTGTATCCAGGCCACAAGCTCTCAGCCATGGTCTGCCACTAATTCTTAAATTAGATAAAAATCACATTTTGTACCTATGTAAAATTGTGCTTCATCAAAAAAGGTGACAATGTTAATACATTTTAAATCTTGCTATGTTAAGCAGCAATTACCTTTACTCCTGAAACAATGACACCATCTGCTGATTTAACCATATTTTTGAAGAAGTCTTCAAGTTTCTCTTTCTTATTTTTCCCACGAACACTCAACTGAAAAACAAATTAATTTATCAAGTTAATGTATTTTCTGGAGGCAATACAAGCTTTAAAAAAAATTAAATAGAACTACATACCCCTACTTGCTACACCTAAAACAGTTTTCCTGTTCTCTGTTTATTCTTATACTATGCACTAATGGAGACCCAGCACCTTGTAATGAAGACTACCTCATTTACTCATTTGATTGTTTGTCACCTAAAATACCATTCTAGGGGGAAATAAATAAATAAAGATCAGCAACATTCTAGCACCTGCAGATAGTACCAAATGTATAGAGTGTACATTTCAGTTATCAGTAACAAGTATTTCTCATGCACGGTATTGCTGAGTTGATGTAATGATAGTCAATATAACCATGTTTCACTCTTTGGTGAATGACAGATCTTTGACTTCCAGATAATAATGCTGGTTTAACCCTCCTCACACTCCTCCTGTCCATCTAACTTCGCCCAGTTTAGGTAAACTGAGTGCCTGAACCTGTAGCATTTCTACATCAAGCAACACAGAAACCTCTGTAACATATTTTGAATTAAGTATGTATGCAGTTTAGTCAGTCTTTGTAACAATTTCTTCCGCTCAATATTGATTCCTGCAATTTTAAAAAGAAACCGAAACTCTTCAGAGAATAGGAGAAAACAATAGTTGTTTGTCTCCAACACCAAAGAGTTATGAATCCAAAAGTATTCTCCATTATCTCAATTCAGTATGTTACATGGGGACAGCCACACTAGCCTAATAATCAGAAAAAAATTAACCACGTTTTCACACACATCATCAACAAAAAGGTTTTACTTATCAGAACATTTCATCAGAAATTCTCTCTAATTTTGTTAGCAATAAAATTTACACCACAGTTACAAATCCTAACAATTAGTGTTCCATTTTGTTGCATCATCTTCCCCACAGCAAAAAAAAATAATTCAAAGAGTGGAAAAGTATACTGTTAAGTGAAATCACCACCAAAAGCTCATCTTTTTAATCCAAAATATACTGGATTTCCAGTAATATTTTTCATGCTGAGGTTAGAGTATATAGTGCATTTGGTTCCCCAGGTGGCAGAAAACGAACTTCTACAGACTAAATTAATTTCTAACTTTTACAATACAAATATGTCTGGCATGAAGGAATTGATGTAATTTGCTCCAGGAGGTAATTCCCTCTTAATCAATTTTCCATCCTACCATAAAAGTACATCTTGATTTCTCTTGCCAGCAATTCAGTTTTCAATACTCACATCCTGATTATATTCCAAGAATACATGGAAATTTAAGTCCTTTCTCAAAATAGGATGTGCTGCCACGCGACACAAAAACACTTCATGCATTGCAACTGTCTTCTTGAATATTGCCAAATATTCACTAAAAACAAGAAATAAGACAGACATAAGAATTTCATATGAAGCAATTAAGTTTGAGATAAACCTAGTGAGCAGTTTTAAGAGATCCTCAGTAAGGGTACAAAATTACAAACCAATATAATGGAGTTTATTACTCCAGTGTTTGATATAGACATAAATAAATAAATAATGCAATGTTAATACTAGGGAGAAATTTTAAGCCCAAACACATCACAGAGAGACCTTTAGTGAAGAATCAACAAAATACACTCTAATTTTTATGGTTAGCTAACAGACACTGGTTCGCTGAAAGTGTAACCTCATTTAATTGTCCTTTCCCCAGCACCCCCAAAATCAAGAAACTGAGGTAAAGACTTGGCATTAAGGCTAAAGTCCCTTGGCACTGTGTATTGATGTGCAAATTCCTTCCTCCCCATCTCCATCCCCTTGCCCATTTGCACCCTCCTTACTTATTTGTATGTTCACATAGTTTTGTTAGCTGTTTAGACAGTCTTATTTCATGTTAAAGCACCTAGCCTTTTTGAGCCAAAGCTTACACTGATGTCTTGATTCTCAATAGTTCTAAAAGTGAAATTAAGAGCTGCATTTGGTAGGTACAACAAAAAAACACATTTAACCACAACAATCACATAGTTGCCCAGTTCAGCCAACTCAACTTCAAAGCAATTACTCACTTGCAATTTAATTAAAGAGGAAGGCACTCTTATCAATACAAGTTTGCCAGAATTCATTGTGCTTTGCAAATTCAATGAGTAAGATGCAACTCATCTGAAAATGAGGAAAGGGCTCTTTTTCCCATTCTGAGGTCAAACAGTGAAATTATAATCAATGCTTTTCCTTCCACTATGTGCAAGGAGGTTAAGATTTACATACCAGCAAACCAGCAGGGCCAGTGTTGGGAGATGTTTGATCTCAGTGAGAGTAGTAGTCATTCAGTGAAGACAAAAAAGGAGGATGCAGAGGATGGAGGTGGCAGTAGAAGAAACCCAAAGTTTTCTGTGTTATCCAACCCCTAACCAGACCACAAGAGAATCATGATCAGGGCCGCTGGAAAACCAGATTCTTTAAAATCTATAGTGTTCTGCTAATTTCCAGTTTTCTGCATATGAAGTGTATATCTACTCTGCTATAAATTATGTTGTACATATCACTAATACAGAGCTTTTTAAGACATTTGCTCACAGCAGCTGAAGTTCGGAGAGAAAGCAGCAGTTCTAAGAGTTCTATGTACTTTTCTTGCCAATTCAGAGCTCTTGATGGAAGCAGTCAAGAAGCAGCGTAAATATACACTTGAAAACTGAAACCAATGACAGGAAAAAGATCAAAGAAGTGAATGCATGATAAAGAAAATGGACGAAGCAAGGAGAAACTTCACTGTGTAACTCAATATGGAACAAGAAGCTTCAGAGCAGTTAATTCAATATAAATTAAATTCATAGTAAGGGAAAATAGTATTTTCAGGAAGTATATTCTCCTTGCACAAAAATTTTAAAAAAAGTGTCAAAAAAGGAATTTTCTAGTAATCTTCATATTTCTTGGGGAACAGAAGGTTGGCATCAATGTATACAGTACCAACCACATGCACAACTCCCTACTCCAAATCACTGCGTGTATAACCTTAAAGTCTCATTAGACTTATAAAAAGTGGAACACCAGAACTAAAAAAGATAGAGGTTATCTCCTCCCTATGCAGATGCTCTGTAAAGAACAGGATCTAAGTACTTTCTTTCTTATAAAAGAATGCTTAAGGACAAGCTGATTTATTTCCTGTTTCAGATCTTCCATGGAATTATTTCTACAATTTTCCTAATGGCACTGATCATGATCACTAAGATTAACCTTGGTTAGATAGCAACTGGATTCTCAAGTCTGTGTTTCACAGAGAACCATTACAGTGAAATCAGAAACATGGGACAGAAAACAGCATTAAAAGTTTTGGAATATAAATAAATTAATAAAGTAGTAATCAAGTCTACATACGCTTCCAGTTCTTGTTTCATCTTAGTGAATTCTTCTTTAGTCATTGATCCTTCCCCTTCTCCAAGTTTCTGCAGTTTCTCCCTGGAGGCATCAAAGTCAGGCCTGGGTGGTGCTGGTGGAATCTGGAATTGAATCCAATTTTTTTTAAGTTCTCATTTTCTCGGTCAAACAACACCCATTCACAGTACAGGAACTGTAGACTGCCTGCAGCTTTTTAATACATGTTTCTCTCTTTCATCATTCATTACAGCATTTCTGGATAAAGTCCCTCATTCATGAGTTATACGTGCTGCATTACTATACCAATTTTGGTCAAGTGTCCTTGAAGATTACTAAAGTATTAACTAATGGCTTCAGTTTAATTACAGCAGAAACCAAATAATACTTCATTTCCCATGACAATGGCTTAAAACTTGAAATAATTATTTTTTAATTAGTTTTGGTTTCGCTTATTTGGGAAGGATTATTTCTTGTTTAAAGACAAAAAAAAAAGAATTCCACAACTGTTTTCACACCATCCATGTCTAACTCCCCAAAACTTTAAACCAAGAAAACCATTCCCTATTGTTTGCAGGCACTAGCTGTTTCTTGCAGCACTGTTGACATTAAAGACATATGTGTTGAAATAACAAAGCCCCTGGTCAACAAGGCTCTAGGTTAATTTTATAATACAGTACATTAACACTGAAAGAGAAAACACCAGAGTCAAACTAAATCTGAACTGGTGCCAGGAAAGGAACACAGAACTAACTATGCTTAAATTTTAGTTTACTGATATTGGCCCATTACATTAGCACATTACAAAAAAAAATAAAATCCAGCATCTTGACAGTAAATCATCTGAAACTAGTCATTACCATACTGAAGGTCTAGTCACTTCAAATAGCTTTTTTGACTAAGACTAGGTCAAGAATGGTATGACCATCACAGATTATACTCATTATAATGTTCTCACTAATCAATTAGAAATATCTGTTTACCCTCTGAATCAGCAAACATCCCTCAAACACAAAACAAATACCTAACTTTTATACAAAGATGACAAATATTCCTATTTGAAATTAACATATGAAGAGCAGCACCATTTTCAATATGCAGTATCATACGATGCCTGTTTTGAGATCTCTGTTCCTGGAAGACCTGAAATTAACTTCCAACTGTAAGTTATTATATATCTTGAGGTTCCTTGTAGTTCTTCATGGCATTTAAATTATTTTTTCCTTCCTCTTATTTATGGAAAGAATGATTCTGATCTTTATAATGAGAACTCGAAAAGTCTAATTACTTTACTCTGCCATTCCAGCTAAAACAAAGGCAACATGAAACTTGTAACCAAGTTAAACATTAGCTTGCAAAAACAATACCACCAAGTTATACACTTCAACTCTCTCCCACACTTTTAACACAGTGGCATAAAAATATATTTAAAGACAAATTAAACTACTCATTTCTTAGGAGTAAAGGGCAAGAAAGTATGACAGTTACTGTAGCTTTCTTCCAAGCTTGCTTCAACCATTAATTTTGTGTAATTGCATAAAATTAAATATTAGAGAAGCTGATCTGATTTTATAAGGAATGAACATCTGCTGTTTCCACTGCATTTAAAAGCAGTCTCAAGTAGTTTTGATCCAGCCCACAGAAAACAGCACACATAAACCAAAAGAATACCATTACTTACAATATAGCCAGCATAGTCCTCATTCTCAACAAAAGAATCATGTAGCCAAATAAACTCTTCATGTTGCCGGACAACAGAAAATTCATTTTGTTTGAAATTTGGTAAGGAACTCTGAAAGAGTAAAAGGAGGTAGAATTATGGGGGAAGGAGGTAGGAAGGAAGAAAAGCTCAACAAAAAACTACAAAGGTTTTCATTACTACATGAGAAAAAACCTTGAGGGAACAACAAAAATGTCACCAAAAGTTCCTACCACAGTAATTACCCTCACCTTAATTAGCAATCAGTTGGCATGGGTTGCCATGAGAGGTTGTGGAGTGTCTGCTCTCATAGACATGTCTAATATCTTTATCAATTTAATCCTCATGTTCTGTTTAGTATCTTAATTGATGATCTGGGTTAAGGGACCAAGTGCCCCTTAGTCAGTTTGTAGATGACACCAAGTTGGGTGGAGGTGTTGATCTGCCTGAGGACAGGAAGGAACTGCAGAGGGACCGGGACCAGTTGGATCCACGGGCTGAGGCCAATTGTAGGAGGTTCAACAAGGGGAGGAGCCTGGTCTGTCCTTGGGTCACAACCCCAGACAGTGCTACAGGCTGGGGGAGCAGCTGGAAAGCTGCCCCATGGAAAAGAACCTGGTTAACAGTGGCTGGACATGAGCCAGTTGTGCCCAGCTGTCCAAGAAGGCCAGTGGCATCCTGACTTGTATTAGAAATAACATGGACCAAGGAAGTGACTGTTCCTCTGTGCTGGACACTGGTGAGGCCACACCTCAAGCCTTGTGCCCAGCTCTGGGCCCCTCATGACAGGGAAGACACTGAGGTGCTGGAGCGTGTCCAGAGATGGGCAACAGAGTTGGTGATGGCTCTGGAGCACAAATCTGATGAGAAGCAGCTGAGGGAGCTGGAGGTGTTTAGTCTGAAGAAAAATCAGGAGTTGACCTTATCACTGTCTACAAATATCTGATACCAGGCTACAGCCAGGTGCGAGTTGGTCTCCTCTCTCAAGTAACAGGTGACAGGACTAGAGGAAATGGCCTCAAGTTGCACCAGGGGAGGTTTAGATTGGGTATTAAAAAAATTTCTTCATCAAAAGAGTTGTCAAGTTCTAGAAGAGGCTATCCAGGGAAATGGTTGAGCAAACATCCCTGAAGGTATTTAAAATACCTGTAAGAAGTGGCACTTAGGGTCATGGTTTAATGGACTCAGCAGTGCTGGATTAATGGTTGGACTCAATCTTAGAGGTCTTTTCCAACATAAGTGATTCCATGGTTCTACAATTGAAACCCAAATGGGCAAATCCTGAGCAATGTACTCTTGTCCACTCTAATTTAAAGATGAGAGTAAGGGAGGAGCTAGGATTAATAATGTCCAGATATTTTATTCAACTTTAATTATTCTGTCACTCTACAATCAATAAACATTCAAATATAAAAAAAAGTCATAAACAGCAGTAATTAAATATGATCCCTAAATGTAATACAATTACAAAATATGTTTTTAGAATCTGAAATTATAGTAAGATCTAATAAAATTTAAAAAACTCTTCTGAAGTATATTAATGTATATTAAAGATTCTACCTGCAAATAGGCTAATTTAATAGGCATGGGAATGGCATGACAACACATCAATACAAAAAGAAACTAACATAACTTTCTTCTAAACAATTTTTTAACTCTTAGTCATCTTTTTCTTATGCACTGCAGCTGCACAGTCTTGTAAACATGAGATAGTTCTACTTTCTCATTTCCTTTGGATTGTTACACTTTGTTTCAACAGTTTAAGCAAACTCACTTTCATATATAATTAAGAACTGTTGCATGTACAAACCCAGATTTTTACCTTTGTATGGACTGTGAATTTCACTTTATCCCTCTCACTGAGTGCATCTGAGATATCCACTTGCAGAGCAGCATCAGTCTGGAGATCTACATTTATTGCTCTAAGCTAAAGAAAGAAAAATATATTTAACTTAAAATTAAAAAAAAAAAAATGGTAAACTATGTTTCCATTAATCTTCTTTTGAAATGAACCCTGATCCTGCAATGCTGAAGACAGATCACAAAACCCTCCAACATTAAAGGATTATTTCCAGCAGAAAAAGAAATTCCAGTACTCCTTACGAGCAGCCATACAAATAAAGGTCCTTTACTCCTTGTTAGTGCACTATTTTCATTTCTGTAGATTGTTAACTTGCTAGTAATGGAGATGCTCAACACAAAGTACATTTACAGATAGCAACAAGTATGGCAGATTTTTCTCTTTATTGTCCCCATTCCTCTGAACTGACATGCTACTCTAAGTAAATATACTTGTAAAGGTAATTATAAAGATATTAACAGTTGGAAAGGTACTTTTAAGGAGAAAAGTAGTGCTATATTTCAAAGAAGCAAGAGCAGTTATAGACCTGATTTACTCACACTGTCTTACACTATCTGTTCAACATATCTCATCATATAATGAAAAAGCTTTAAAAGAATATCCTGAACTTCACAGAGCTAAGTCTTGTTGGAAATATTTTCCTGAAAACCCCAAAGCAAAAAACTCAAACCCAAGACTTTGATGTATTCAAAATGAGCATGAGAAATGGCAAAATTGCAAGGAATACACATTTTTTTTCTACAAGACATGAAACCTGAACTCTTTCACAAAATAATTCCCGTCACACTGAAAAAAAAGATAAAAAAATTTGGCAGTAACTGGACTCAAGGCTTCAGTACTTGGTGCAACCTCATCTAGAGCCCAACTGGAAATTCAAGTCCCCTCACCCTTGCACCCTTGTTGTTCTAGAGGAATGTGTCCCATGACAATTTCATCATCATGACCAACAGACATTTGGAATGTTTTTACAAGCACTAAGGCTAACCCTGAAATCTTTTCCAATCACATTGTGAAAAAATATTTCAACATCATGCTCACAAGGCATACTTTTCATTGAGACATGGTGTTTTCTTTGATGCTGCATTTTTTCTACAAATACCCCATTCTACAGTATAAAAAATGCTTTACTACAAAGATTTGGACGTTTTCGCCATAAATTTTTTTCAGGATTGCATTTTTAAGTCAATACTTAAGTACAAAAATGCTTTAAGTATTCACAGTACATAGTACAGAGGTTACACATGAGCAGATTTGAAGGTAATGCTGTGAGGCACTGGAAAAGCTTTAGGACAGAAGCATCAACCGTCACATCTTGTTTTCCATAAATTACCTTTATCTTAAATCACAGTGATCAGATCCCACTCTAGTATTGCTGTGAACCTGGATGCACGGGCAATTCTTGCCTACGTAGCAGCAACCAGACTCATGGATCTTAGAATTAGTATCTTAAAGTAAACCAGAATCATGTAGTCTAGCATATTCTGCTAAGGTTAGCAAAATGTAACAGTTCGATAGCCCTTACACAAGTAGCAATAACTTTTCCTTACAGTGAAGTTGGAAATCATTAAAACAACTGCAATTCAGACATTGCTTTTTATTTTGTTTTCCCAAGGTTTAGAGGGTCACTGCCTCACACAAAGGCGTGTTATCATGGAATGGTTCCTTGCAGATCACGTCTCAGAGGCAGAATCTCCTAGCTCCTACTGAGTTTCCAATGTGCTTACCATCTAATTTAGGAAAGAAAAATATAATGACATACCAATGTCTCCCTTATGTCATGACACCACATTTTTCAGCGTGTAAAAAGGTTTTTGTGGTTACACTGTCTGGGGTACTGTTTATTTTTATCTGGTCCCCCCAGAATACATTAACAGACTGAGTAATCTCAGCAAATAATCTGGATTATCTAAATGGTATTTTGTGGTCTTTCACATGTCACAAATATCTCTACCAAAATGCTTTTGCATCTCCTTTTATTTTTTTTAAACGTAGTACTATACAAAATTCTAAAATTCAGTATAACAGCTGATCACGTTTGTCATTAGAGCATATCCAGTGCAGTGCAGTCTGATCATATGCACCATTCCCAACTTCAGATACAAAAGTCCTATCTGTGTTGAGAAAATTAAGAACTAAATATGACAACTTCACCCATGACATACAGCTGTAAAGGACTATTTGTTTGATTTATACTGAGTTAAGTCTGTAACGGTTTTGAAGAGTTTAATCATATGTTAAATTATGCCATGTAGCCTGACTGCCAACAGGGAATGTTTTCATCTGCAATGGTAATGAAGCATTTATGAAAGGTGTCAAAGACAATCAGAAAGTTGAAGGACTTTAAATGTATTCATGTGACAAAGCAATTCACATTGCATTACTGGAAACTGAATTCACAAACAACATCATCACACCACAAACTTAAACAAACTCTGCATCACTACTTCCAAAATAAAACTGCTACCAATGGATGGTTTTCTAGTCACAAAGAAAGTAGAAAATAAAAACACTGAAGTCTGATAAAGATGAAAACTGAAATGAAAGTACCTTAAATTATGGAAAAAATAGAGATAGGACAGTGCCTTTTTATCTTGCCCCCCTCCAAGTCTAATACATACAACATCGCATAACAATTTTATGCTTACATATGTAATCTACATCCATGCTGAACAACTTGCAAAACAAAACCTACTTTAGTGACTTTACAGTTTCCTATGCTATACCAAGAAAGTCCCTTTCCGTTCAAAGGGTCTAGAAAACACCAGAAGCCAAAACCCAGGCCAAGCCATGTTACAGTACTAAATGAGAACACAATGCAAGGAGAGGACTTAACATCTTGCTTAAGGATCAATTATACTTCAAATGATAATGGAAGGAATCTGGTACAGACAAAGGAAACAACCAAGTGTTACATTCCTAGGTAATGTCATCCATTAACAGTAACTTCCCTGCTCTAAGCTCTTTCAAAAATGTTAGAGTAAAAGGACCCTTTCTTCAGCTGGTTCTTTACAGGCAGATAAATACACAGAGCAAGGCAACAAAGAATACCTTTACAACAAAAGCTTTCTAAGTGCACACAGTATTATTCGAAGTTTCACAGCATTAAGTTTCCAGACCTGTTCCAAAGGATAGCTCATTTCCACTGAATGAGTGTTAGCTTGTCAGCTAAAGTTTATATAGATATAAAATACACAAGGCAGTACTAATGGAGCAACACTACACCACTTTTGAAAGCACGTATTATGTTAGAGAGAGCACAGAAATCCCAAGAGCACCCAAGTTACATCAAACAAACTCAATCCTATCCCATTTCCTACATGAAATTCAGAAAAGCAATTCCCACAAGTTCATTTTATGCAGACCATTTATAATAAGTTCCTTTGACAGACCACCCACTGCTATTTCCTCAAAGATGATTCTCAGTGCTGTTTTACAGTTCTCCAGAAAAGGCTCCATATGGTGTAACACCATTGTTTGAGAATTACTCTTCTGTGTGGCATCAGCATAAATTCCAGCCCTCTTTCATCCCATCACCCCAAGGTTAAACTTAACTCAACTGTAGCCAACAAACATGTTCCTGCAGCATTAGAAGTACAGTCATCACAGCAATATCTGAATTCAACAGAGGTAAGAGTATTGATTTTCAAAACTAAAAGCTCAGTTACTCCAAACAGAAGTTGCCATCCATGCTTTCAAATAAAAGCTTTACCTACTCATTATTTAACTTCAGAGAAAGGCAACAAATCAGAACTAGGGAATCACTTTTTGAAAATATGTTTATTTTTACTGCTTCCACTTATTAAAAAAAAAAAAAAAAGTAGTACAGTTTTGAAGATTAAAGCCCAGCAAATCCATTCATGAACAGACTGCCATATTGCTTTTGATTAATTTCCCATATCACAAACAAAATCATGCAGATGACAACCTGTGTTTCAACCCCAGGCATTTCCACAGAAAAAAATAAAACCCCCACAGTGATTGAAAATAAGAAACCCTAAAAATATTAGAGAAAGGAGAAGGCCACTGTTCTAGTTTAATTCTTCCGTACTGGATGAAGATGCAGAAGAAAAAAAAAAAAAAAAAGATTGCATTTGGCCAACTGAGATGGTAAGTCAGTACAGTACAAATGGTACAAAGAAAAGTAAGTTTGTACAGTACAAACATACAAACGAGACTTCTAAGAGATTTCTTAAGGTTTTCAAATTACATTGTGAACTCTTAACGACCTGTAATCTTAGAGGGAAAACTAATAACCAGCCAAACAAACAAGTTTCACAGGAGGTCAGATCTGCATTATTATGTTCTACCTGCACCTTCAGATAAAGGCAACTTAACTGTGTGCATCAAAGGTTGTTCCTAAGTTCCAGGGACAACCTATGTAAATAAAATTCCACAGTTAGTAAGCTCTTCAGTCCTTGTTCTGAAGACACTCAAAGGACAACAATTACAACCTCCTCTCTCTTTTATCCGACGTTCTTAGTGAAGTAGCTGTATACCTAAAGACAAAAGCTTTATAGTGGCCAGAATTTGGCCTGATAGAATACTAGAACGACTTTTTAAATTTCTGGCCATAAATTGGAACATAAAATGCACTGAATTGAACATCTGACTATGGTGTGCATGATAAAACATTACACCAACACAGCGTTTCTCAGATTTTTGTATTTTTAGTAATATACTATATATTATATACATACAGTCACTTCAACAACCACCAAGTCAAGGGAACCTAAGCAACCCAGAAGCTGCTCTCCTACCTTGCTCACAGTTGGTCTTTCTCAAGATACTAAGTGACAGGGGTAATCAGTCTGACTAAATTATACTAGGTTAGCTAATTTGTTGCTTAAGTGAGGCAGGCAGGTTAAAGACAGATGGATACAGCAGTCAGAAGAGAAACTAAGGCCAGAAACAGGAAGGCAGAGAAAAAGGTCTTCTCAGTAAGAAACGTAATTGTGGCATCCTGTCCCAACAACAGATCTTCTTTTCAATAGTTTATTATGCAGTTTATTATGTGTCTGCAATGTAAATGCCCCATTGTTATCTATGGGAGAGCCCCCCGAGCCTGAAGGGAGAAGCGAGGACAGGACTGCATTACCCGAGCCCTAGACCGCGGCTGGCGATGGCACCTGGAGATCCCCAGGGCTGGTCAGCCTGGGCAGGACCGGCCCCGCCAGGCGTGTGCAGCTGGAGGGGGCCGCAGGGAGCGAACATCCATCTCCGGCCACAAACCCCTGCCAAGCTATTCCAGCGACAGCATGAAATAACTGTCCTTCCAAAACTTGGGTGACAGAATAATGAAGAGCACACGCAACACAGACGCCGATATCAGCGGGAGGCTGTGCCAGGAGCAGATCCTGGCGGGCGGACGGACGGACGGACAGCCAGCCCGGACGCTCGCCACCCATCATCCCGCCTCCCTCCGACACCCACGCGGCGGGCTCGGGCCAGCAGCGCCCGGAGGCCCCCGAAGAGGGGCTGACCCCGTTTCCCCCACGCCCAGCCCCAGGCGCCGGGGTCCCGACGCCTCCCCGCGGCACTTACACCTCGGTCCTCCTCCGAGAGGAAATCTGGGCCGTCGTCCAAGCCTTCCTGCTTGGGGGCGAGGCGGCGGCGCGGGCAGGGGGCACGGAGGGGCACGGCCGGCGGCAGGGAGGGTGAGGGGAGACAAAGCGCACAGGTTAGCGAGTGCCCGGCCGCGCCGCCCGCCCCGCCCCGCCTCGGCCCGGCTCCACGGCCGCCCCGGACCCACCATCATGGCTGCTCGCGGCGCTCTGCGCCCGCCGGAGCCGCGGCCGGGCGGGGCTGCGGTGCGTGGGGCGGGCCGGGGCGGGGCGGCGGCGGCGAGCGGCGCCTCTCGCGAGGGAGCGGCCGCTGAGGGGAAGGAGGTGGAGGGAAGGGAGGGCGCCGGGCGGCGCTTCGGCGGCGGCTGCGGGCGAGGCGGGGGAGCGGGGCTGGCCCCGGGCAGGGCGGTGGTTGCCTGTGTCGCAGCCGGCCGTGCGCTGTTACGGTCGGCCATACCGGCACGCGGGTGGTGAGGGCGCTGGGCCTGCCCCGTTTGCGGGGCGGCCGCTTTGCTCGGTGGAAGGCGGTGAAAGCTGCCGCGGGCAGCGCCGAGCCCCGCAACGCCGAGCTCCGCACGCCAGTGCCTCCGCGCTGCTCTGCGCTGCTCCCCGGCGTGCGCGCGGGAGACGGACTTCGTACGTTTGTACGAGCCGGGGCGTGAAACCGTGCAACGACAGCGCGAGAAATGAAGAGGCTTCGATTCGTTGGGTAGTTAGGTGATTTACGATTGACAGCTGCCTATTTCACACTAAGGAGTGGAGCTTTTAAATGCCCCTTCGTCTAATGACAGGGGAAAGGTCAGCATTCGCACACTAAGGCGGGTGTAAGCGTGGATGGAGTCTATGCCTGAGACTGCATTTTTGTGTGAAACAGAACGGCCAAGAAACAGCCTCAGGGTGGGGCTTCACGATCAGCATACTCCCTCCCATCTCGGTGTTGCCGAGGGATGCGGGCAGGTGTGGACATCAGCACTCCTGTGGGCCTGCACTGACATACAGGAGGGCGCCAGCCCACCCGCAAATTAAGACTGTAACAAATTCGTGGTTTCCACCCTAGCTGGCTCCCTAGCCAAGTCCATAGTCAGTTACAAGCACTAGTGGGACAGGAGCACCGCTTGCCACAGCAGCACCGTGTTTTCAGGTGGAATAAGGCCATCAGGAAACTGCACCTTGAGACATTGTGTTCATGTATAGCCTCAAGATAAGTGAAGATAATGCTTTCTGAATTCTGCACTGCTTAGAAGGGTGCTGTAGGACTCAGAAAGGGAAATAATCTCTTAAAAATTGTTCTTAGTATCTCCGGAGAAAGGTATTTGAGTATGCATTTTGTAAATAATTTTAAAAGCTGTTCTTTAAGCAATCTTCACATATGCAGCTTGTTTCTGTTTTGATACAGACATGTGCAACATCATCCAAAATATTGACTTACTACTGTGGTCATGAGAAATAAAAATATTTTATAAAGTATGGAGAAAGAGTATGTGACCCCCGGTGAAGCACCAACTTTGTCATTCTGAAGAGGTAAACAAAGTCACACAGGAAACTGATTTCTGGGGGTTCACCTGCATTAGTATCCTGTTCTGTGCATGGTCTGGGTTCAGTATTGTATACCATTCCACTCAGCAAACATCTATTTTTATGGAAAAAAAAAATTGAGACAGATTGAGTTTTCTTTTTTTATATGTATTATTTACTGCTGATACATTTTATCAGAACCAAAGAATCCAGGCCAAAAAGTTGAAGAAGTGCTTCATGAGGAATAATGACATAATTTTTTTCTTATAGGGGAGAGCTAAGTAGATCAGCTGGCTAGTATGAATCTCACAGGAAGACCATCTCAGGTTTGTCTGTAAAATAATAAAATTATATAGCTTTCCAGTGTGGCTCTGGGAGCAGTCTGGTCAAGTTTTGGATGGCACAGAGTCTCATAAGGGACCTGGTCTAGTGAAAAGTGTCCCTGTCCACAGCAGAAATGTTCAAACTAGGTGATCTTTAGCCCATTCTATGATTCTGTGATATTCCAAAACAGCAGCAGTGTTATGTTGATACCAATGTTGATACCAAAAGTATTAATCTTTCATCCTGCCCTGATCAACTTATCCCAGGTCCATCTCTTGCCCTACTTTTCTCCCCATGCTCCTCCCCTCTGGCAGAGCAGTGCATGCTGCCTGCTGTTTCTGCTTCAGCAGCTGAAACAGATCATATCTGCCATGGGGACACCCTGGCTAGGAAGTGGGAGAAGAGTATTACCTCTTCTCACTGCCCTTCTGTCAATAAACCTGCTCTGCAGCTCTAGGAGCAGTTTCCTTTGACAGCTGAGCTCACCCTACCTAACAAATTTCCATCTTGGCTGTTTGCACACTCTTTTCTATGTCTGGATAATAATAATAAATCAAGTCAATGAACTAAATATAACCCAGGAAGAATGAAATTACAAGTTGTAACTGAGACAATCTGACAGTCCTTTGGTATGACTGCATTCCTACCCTCATGCACACACCTGGCTGTCTACACCAACTCTGGTCTTCAAGCAGGCACTCCTGTCAACCTATTTCACCAGCAGGAAAATTTCATGGGATAAAGGAGGGGGAAGCTCTTTTAACAGTGAGTTTCGCTGACTCTGATAAACTGTAGGGATGGCCCAAAGGAGAATGCAGTTCAAAACCAAAAGAAAGGAAAGTCTTGGGGCTTTCAAATGACATCTAGAGAACTTATTCCCTTTACTAGCAGCATCCTTCATTTGCTCCAGGACACACATTGACTCAGCTACTCATTTTTGGTCTCATTTTTCCTTCCTTTTTTCCTCATTTTTTTCTATTCAGGTGCCATGTTTTCTCAGTCTCATTATCAGCTGCTAAACCCGTGAGGCAAGGGTCAGCATTATCTGGAGTTTACAGAGCTGTAAATACAAAGAGGAACCTTTGTTCCGTGGATTCCGAGGATCCCATGCCAGTTAGGGGAATGCTGCGGAAACCCGTAGGTTTCCAGATTTTTAAAACACTACCACCTGCAAACACCCATAATGTCAGTAGATGGTGCTATATACATATTTTTCGGAATTCTTTTCGGCCGAGGTTTATCCAACCAATAACATTTCCTTTGTGTTTGAGCGTGTTATCCCTGGAAAATCAGAAGCCATACAATTTAAGAAATATTCGGCTTTTATCAGAGAATCGCTGGGGAGACCTTAAGTCTTCCCACTCCATGGCATCATGTCATATAGTACTATCTGCACTGGATGACTCATCATGGAGTGATTCAATGAATGCAAGCATTTGATATAGGCAGGAACTGTAGTTCTGGTATTTCATTAGCTGATATGTATTTCTTTTCAAGTATGAGAAACTATTCTTCGTGCACTTTTTTCTTTTTGAGAAGTTTCTCGACTTCCCTTTCTAAACCTAATTACTCAGTTTCCTTCAAACTACATCATGTACTTCACATGCTCATGTGAAGCTCAAATACAGCATCATCTTGCAGCCAAACTGTGGTCGTAAGGATGAGTTTTCCTGTATCTCAGTAACAGATTGATTTCTCCTTTTTTTTTTTTTTTTTTTTTCTTTGAGATGAAAATACTTTATTCCCTTACATAATTCATTTAACTTTTCTCTACTGATGCTAACTGAAACTGTATTAAGGAACCATATCATTAAAGCTTTATGGTGGGGCAATTTTCCTTTTTGTGACAGAGCAAATAATTACATTTTGTGAAATATTAATCAATATGTACTTTTTATTGCTGTGGAAAACTAGAGTTTTAAGTGTAATGTTCTCAGAAGGTTAAGGCTGAACAAGAAAAAGGCTTCTAAACCTTATTATAAAACCTGTCTAAAAAGCTCAGTTAGCAATAGAGGCTTTTTACCTGTTATAGAGATAGATCATTTTACAGCAAAAAATTACTATCAAACTAATCATATTTCCTTAGAACCGCAAAGAAGATGTGACATGTAGGACGAAAAGAACAGACAGGGAAAATTGTATAATATTATACAGAAGAAAGAGAAACATAGCTTAGTACCGCTCAGTAACTTCTAGATACCCAGAGGAATAGTAATTTCCATAAGAAAAGAAAAAAAATTCTGTTTCTCAATGTGGAATAGTCTTCTGTGAATTCCAAAGAATAATGGGGACATATGCAAATAATAAGGATGTGTAGGTTTCTATTCAGACTGCAGGGACCCAGAAAAGGCTTGCTCTGAAGTTTTAAAAATCCTGGCCTCCTTGTGCAAGATGTGGACTGTATGTATGCAGGTATATTGTAGTTCAATTTATCACACTTCTTCCCTAGGAAAGAATCAAATTCTTTCTTTTTAAAATTCATTTACGTGGTATTATAGACACTGTCTTTGTCTGCCATGAATGACTTAATATCCATATAAAGCTACACTGATGCAGAAAGTTGAATCTATCTAAAGCCTCATTTTTCACCAGTGCCATGAACTAACACCAAGAAGCTGTAAGGGGAAGAATATATTGTGCAGTACACACTGTTAAAATTCACTTATTCTGAGCTCTGACCATATTGACAGTTTTTTTCTTCTTTGGATTGCATGCTGTTATCAACTTAATCATCATATTTCTGTAACAGATTGTAGGTGATCACTGATCTGCACAAGTTCTTCATTACAAATGGATGCAAAAGGAGACTCCATCTCTCATAGCTCCTATAGGATTTTCTAGGAATGAGCCTATAAAGAAGTTCTCCCCTCCCTGGTTCACTGAGATACATAGAAACGTTTAGAAAACAAGTCACAGACTGATCAGCATTTCAGCTGTCTCCTCTGGATTTAAAGCAATTGAACTCATCCCTTTTCCTAAACTACAGTCTCTTCTTTATAAACCAGTTGAAACATGGAGTACTTCAGAGAACAATCTGAGAGACTACTTTTTGATCATTCTTCCCAATTCTTAATGCCTTTTTTTAAGAGAAAGCCAAAATTTCCTGCCTCGCCTTTGCTCCAGACTAAGGGTTTTACTTGTACCAAGTACAGCATAAAATTCTTTAATTCTTTACTGTAACAAAATTTATTATTACAACAGAAAAATAAAAACATTTTCAGTGATATGACAGCTGAAAACAGGGAGATTGTTTTCCCATGTTGATTATCAGATTTTTAATTTTAGAGCTGCCTGGTTTAATCCATGTGCTGTGAAGGGCAATAAAAATGCTTTGGGATATCAGCCTCACAGTAGTCTTAACTCTGTCAGTCAGTAACTGCAATGGTAAGAGTGTT